GGTGGTGGGAGGGGTGGTTGTGGTGGTGGGAGGGGTGGTTGTGGTGGCCGTGGTAGTGGTCGTGGTCATAGTGGTCGTGGTCGTAGTGGTCGTGGTGGTCGTGGTGGTTGTAATGCCCCGCCGTTGCAGCCGACGTTGTTGCCGCTCGAGCCGACGTTCTTGCCTGCGAGATTGGCGCTCTTCACTGGGTGTCTGCCTCGGTCTGGCAGTTTTCACGCGCCCTTTCATTCGACACCAGCATGGACCCCAAGCCAGTTGAGGCTCAGTGTTTTCACCGTTAGCAAAAAAAACTGTTTCACTTAAAATAGTGTTTGTCTCAAACCAGTCAATCTGCGTTAGCTACCTACACATTGTGATCTGATCAATGCAAAAGTAATCCAAATACTCTGGTTGTCAACTCATGTCAACTCACTCCGATACTGCCGTCTGCATGGGAAGCTGGGAGTACTTGGACCTGTCTCAAAGTATCTTCGTTTCATTTCGTTTCGTTGGCAATTCAAGCCGCTTGAGCCGTTGAATGAGGGCAGTCTCCTCACTCTCCGAAGCTGAGCTGTTCGTGCAGCTCCAAGCAGCACTCGCCCAGCTTCTCCAAGCGGTCAAGGCACACACGCCCATGAAAATCCAAACTTTTGTCATGACAGTCAGTCTGGAATATCACTCAATGAGAAGTCGGTTACAGTTGAGCGCTCAGGAAAATGGCTGCGAATACAAAGGGACGAATTTCCAAACGTGCGGATGCTTTTGCCGCATAGTTGATCAATGAGCTGTCTCAAATGAGTAGTGCCACATTTTGGAAAGAACATGGGTCTGTGTCAACATGAAGAGATGGAAAGGTGTTTTCAGCTGTGTACTGTAGGTGGTCTGTCTTGTCTAATAAAAAGGCCCCATCACTTGCAAGCGAGCAAGGCCCTTCGCCAGTCGCCCGCCATTAGTCGCCCCGTCTGCCGTCCTTGCATGCGGGCCGCGGGAGGTTTCGCGCAGCCTGAAGGTCTTCTTGGCTGCCTCTTCGCTTTGCCGCTAAGACCTTCCGTTTGCGAAGAGGATTTGTGAGAGAAGGGGGGAGGAGCCCGTCCTACCGTCGTGCATGGTAGTTACTATGGATGTTCAATGCTGGCTGACGCCGAGAAGGCGTGAACATGCTCTGGGCCGCCAGCCAGGCGGCCTCCAGGGCTACAGCCAGCTTCACCGCCGCTGCAGTGACAACCGCTCACATTTTCAATACTGCTACACGACGACAAACTGGGATCACCGCCTTACGATCATCCGGCAAAAAACCTTCCAAGTCTTCTGAAACCTCCAGAAGGCGCGCAGTCGCAAAAAATGCCTTCTTGTACTGATTCTTCTCCTGGTAGTCGCAATCGCTATGCAAGGTGCGCACATGGTAGATCTCAACCTGCGCCGCAACCGATTCTGATCGCGACTTATTTTCACTCAAGGCGAAGCAAGGGTTGACCCAACTGGGAGGATTTCCCGTCGATGATCCAAATGAGTGCCAGAGGGCAAGAAGAACATCCTGCAGAGAAACATCTAGGGTCATCTCAGCAAGGACCTCGACTGCAAAATGTTGGCAATTCTCAACCAAACGGTCGCATTTGGTTCACCCGCAGCTTGAATTCAACTGAATCCACCAGTCCTTCACTACGCAGTGACTTCGGTGTTGCACATCTCGAAGTGTGGCAAATCCCTCGAACACCTGCGGTCTTTTTCGTGGGTTTCAACCCCCGCCTGGCGATCGAACTCTGCCAAGTTCTTCGTTCCTTCAGAATAGTGTTCCTCAAAGTCATCCGTCACCTTCGTTCCGCGATTCTGAACGAAGGACCACGGATTTTCGATGTTGGCGAAGCGTGCGAAGCATCGGAGAGGTGTCTTGAGTTGTGGACCAAAAAGAGGTCCTGAAAGGTGCAACACATCCGGAGAGGGCTAGTCTTCATCTTCATTGTTTTTCATATTTGGCTTCTAAATTCCAAATATCTTCGGACCTGCGGTTTATTTGCTTTCCGTATCAAACACGGGCTTTTTATTGTTGTTCCTGCATCGTCATTCAAGTTCGCATTCCCTCTGAGAACAAAACCAGGAAAACACCTTTTGCAAAAAAGGTCACGTCAAACGCTTTCTGCTCGTTTCGAAACACCCCGCGGTCGGTGCAGTTGTAGAATGGCCTGTTCAAGTCCAAAAGCACATCCCATCCAACTAGGCGGTGGTGGCCGGCTGGTCAACATTTGCCACCTTTCGGCCTGTTGCTCATCTCTAAAACGAGGCGCCATGTGGGCCTGTGAGGCCAAAATCATGGTTGAGGGCCCCGCGAACCGCCCCTGATTTCCGCCCAGTCGCATAGTATGCCACGTTCAGCATGGCGGTGGTGCGCTCGTTCCGGTAGGCGTTGTTCGGCTGAAAGGAAAACTTGCCTGGGTCGTGCGTGGGAAGCCTTTGGGGCTCAAGTCTTAGATTCCAACAACGCCAACATCTGCCAACCAACAACGCCTGGTCTGCGAAACAGCCTGGTTCTTAGTATTTCTTCATATTTTTCTGAATGCTTTTAACATCGTTGGATGGGCTGTACATACGCCAAAACCTGAGTCCTGGTGGTCTTGGCACCGGGACTTCGACTGGCCATTCTCGTGGAGGCCTTGAGCCATTTGGAGGCTCTGGGTCGTTTTTGTTTTCTCTGTCTCGAGCAGTCCGGCTCGTCCAAGCGTAGCAGTAGCAATTTTGCTTTGCGATGTGTTTTCACATCAGTGCACATGAAAAGATATGAACACAAGAACAAACTTATATAAGGTCCACATCTTCAAGTCCAGCCAATCCCATCCCCATCCCATCCCCAACTGTTGATGGGACAAACTTTTATCCAATGTGGGAAGAATCACCCCGTTGCCGTGCCGTTGGTTGCCGTTGGTCTCGCCGGGCGTTGTTATCGCGATGGCCTCCAAGCGAACGAAGCACTGACGCCTCAGACTGAGTTGCTCCCACCATCTTTAGCAAAGTTGGAGGCCAAGGTCAAAAGCACCTCAAGAAATCGGTCCGTGATTCAATCGTCGGCAACGCAACATGGCACAGAAGAAAACTCATGGAGTCTGCATGGCATGTGTTCCTTTTCGTTTTTTTTGCGTGGGTGTTCGGTGGATTCAAGGCGTCTTCAGTGGCTCTTCACATTTTCACAAGGCACAGCCGAGTATAGATTTCTCTTGGCTATGGCAACTGACATTGAATGCACCTCTACATGGAAAAATGACCAAACTATGCAAATGCTTGCTGAATATCTGGCCCCTTAGCACATAATGTTGTACTGACATTCGCTGAATACTAATAATTATGGATTGTATATTTGTAGTAATGGAGCAGATCTTGGCAGTGAAGCCTATTTATCTGTGGATCGCACAAATCTTGGACCACCTGGGGTACAAACGCGTCAAGTCTTTCCCTAAATAGGTGCTGGAAGCTTTATGGGTTCTGAGTTCTTAATGGTCTTTACTTACTTACTTACTTCCTTTCTTTCTTAGAACCAGGCCCCTCACGGGCCCTGCTTACAGCATCGGACCAGCCTTGAAACCCGAGCGCGATCCTCGCGCGACGCACGATCGCCTCTGGCGATCGTTCCGTGTGCCCCAGGGTGGTTGGAACAGTTCCAGTTCCAAGCAGCTGGTGGTTGGAGGAGAGGGTCCAGTTCATGTTCCAGTACGCTTCAATAGGTCAAAGACATACATCTTGGTAGCGCTGCATCCGTGCCGGTTGATTTATCACCCCTTCCATCATCTTCCACCTAGGCGCCAACAAAAGCACTGGCAGCGCTTGGAAGATCTGCACGCGTTGCATCTGCCCCTCGTCGTGGTGATGGTGCCGCCCATGGTGAGCTTGGTGAAAGGCGGGGCCACCGCCGAAGAAGGCAGCAAAAAGGTCCTCTGGGGTCATGAAGTCCTGGAAGGTGCAGAGTTGCCGGATGACTGGTGGTGAGCTGGGTGGTGAGTGGCAGGTTTTGGGCGAAAGAATAGGATTTGTGTGATGGGAGCTGAGCTTCTCCGCTGTGTCCCCTGGGGCAATCTCCCAGCCTGCGACTTGGAAGCGCAAGGAGACACAGTGGATAGATGGCAGAGTCCATGGAGCTTTGGGCGGCAGCATTTCTGGAATTATACAAGCATAGACCCCAAACAGCGTCAGCATTTTTTCGGCGTCGGCGTCAACTCCGAAAATTCCAATGTTGGTGGAAACGAATGCAAGTATACTTTTCTAAAGCCTCCAGCTGTTTGGCAACTGCACGCCCGGACACAGAGCCGGGCCACAGAGCCCAGCCACAGAGTTCAGGGGCGCGGCCAGTGAGTGTGGCCAGTTCTATTTTTTCTAAGATAGAACCCAAACATTTGGGGAAAAACACATATCTAAATTGGGAGTGAGAGCGGGCTAGGATGCAGTCAGGGAGTGTACACTTGGCTTGAATACACAGCGGTGCTTGCTTGAGGTCGTCTTTCATTCTCAACTTCCAAAAGCTTGGCAGTGTTTCGAACAGAGCTCAGAGCACCGCGGGGGGAGATGCTCACGAGTGACAACATGATTACAGTACCTCACTGTACACACGGTACTGGTGACCAGGCATCTTGTTGTCGACCTATGTCGACCTGGCATCTATTCTTGAAACAGACCTAACACCAGAACTCCTCACCCTTCGGAGGAACGCCTGCGACATCAATGGGCCTTGGCGATTGGCCCACACATCTGACTAACTCCCCTTTTTCCACCTGTTGGATCGGCCGTAGAGAAGCCAACCCCCCCAAAAAGGTTCATCCACTGACTGGGTCCACTGACGATCCTAACCTGACCGGTGACTGCACAGAGCGGGGGGGACGTCTGTCCTGCTGGTAGTGATGCCGCTGCTGCTGGGGCATGCGATCCTCATCGCCGTAGGTGTCGTAGACTTGCCTTACGTCGGCTGATTGGTGGATTGGTTGGGAGGTTTGAGGCAATTGGGCGACCTTGAGGTCTTCTTTGGGGCTGGGATTTGTTGGAATATACTTGAATGATTGGAGGCCGAAGACGGCAAAAAATCTGGAGGTAGTTTGGACACCTCAAAACCAGGTGCCCCTTGTGGAACACATACCCGTCTGCAACATTCCTACTACCTCACATGATTGATTTAAAGGTTCAAAATGGTCAACGTCCACGATCATGATTTTATTGGACAGGCAAATTAGGGCAAACTTCAGGACCTGAAAGAAATGCTTACTCTCCCACTCGCTAACATAGAAGTCGAAAATGGCCTTTGGGAAGTTCCTGTACAAACACGGTAGTTTCCACTTCCATGTTAATTAGTGAGTCGGAGTGTGTGTGTTTTTTTCCTTTCTCCCCCCACCCGACCGTCGAAGAGTCTAATAAGACATCGGTTTGTCTTCCATAATGTTTCTTGACACACACCTAGTGATCTTGCTCTGAGAATTGAGTGACACCATACACTAAGATAGAAGAAATTCTGATGCGGAATCCGCACATGTCGATGAACGATCGAACTTCAGTCAATTTTAAACCTGATCTAATGATCTTTCATGGTGATGATGGTTTTTTGGACGTCTGAAGGCGTCTGAAGGGCCAGCCTAAATGGTCCTCTCTCAACGAATATCGTTGGGTTTGCCCCAGCCACAAAGGCTCTTGATCGAAGTACAGTACCAACTCGCCAGCTTTGGTGGACCCTGTATTCTTGGGTCGATACTGCCACATCCACTCAATGAACCCAAAAGTCAAAGCTTGCACGCCCTTGCCATACAAAACACCTATGGAGCGGCCCTGGTGCCACGAGGGCCACCCCCGACCTCGACCTCGCTCCGATGCGAAACGAGGGTCTTCTTCTCCGGATCCGTCAAGCACTGAAAGGCCTTCGAGAGCTTCTTGAAGGCCTCACAACGAAACAGCTTTGCAATGCTTGTGTCAAACCTGGGAGCCGAAAGAAAAGACACCAAGACACGTGGCCATGCCGATGGTGTGCCACCCTTCGTGGCTTGTACACCGCTTCTCAAGTCAAACACCAGAAACTGTCCGCCCCCTGTCCTCATCTGCGCCCGGGGCATGGTTCTTGTCCGGGTGGAGTTTCAAGGCGAGCTTCCGGTAAGCCTCGACCAAAGCGTTCTGCGAGCCGAACAACGGAGCGGGTTCGTCCGAAGGGTCGGTGTGACCGGTTCTGTCAGCAGCTCTCGAACGGCGGTGAGACGAGACGAGAGCTGAGTGTGAAAGAAACGGAAGACATCGCAAGTGGAATTGAAATAGAATGGAATTAATTGAAAAAAATAATGAGAATCTGGTAAATTTATGTGAGACATACACCTTGCTGGAAATTCATCCAGAACAGTGATTTCGATCACCTTGCTGGTATTGTTAATAGTCACCAGGAAAAACTGTAAGAGTCTCGTTTTGGTTTCAATCTCTATATAGGCAATGCAATCCTCACCACGGGGATGACTTCTACAGCTGTTTGTATGCTGAATGCTGTAGCCGAGGGCCATCAACGTGCACGGCGCAAGCCGAAGCTCAACAACAGTGGAACCCCCCCAGTTACCGCCCTATCACGGGATGCAATTCCCTGCCCATTTGGGCAACAACAAAAATAGATCCGGTGAATCCGGTGAGCCAATGGTAGACCGGCCGGCTCAGGGTTGTGTTCGGTGGGCAGCCAAACGGAACAAAGATCCGCAGAGCGTGTTAGGATCTCTGGATCTGCATCGACCCCCCAAAGACACAAGTCTGCATCGACTAAGATGTCTCTTTTCGGTCGGTTTTCCCTCCCGTCGAGGCGAAGATCCCTAAAAGGGCCGTCCCACGTGGTGCAAACCTTCGAAGGATTGCGCTCCCACGTGCTGTTCCGTCAAGAGCTGAAACCATGAGAGCGCCTTCTTTGCGGCCTCCTCGCTGGCATTTTTAGGAACCTCAAGGATGTCATAGTAGTCCTGCAGCCAAAGCAGGGTGGGGCAGCAACTCAACAACTTAAAAGGTCTCGCGAACTTGGGTGCACATCAGCTTTCTTGGTCAAACCCGACAAGATCGGCCCGAAGCAGCTGTGCCATGTGAAATCCACAGATTTCCCTAAGCTGCCAGGTTTCCAACGTGATTTCACACATCATTCGCCCCCCGTGATTTCCTGACGTTCGCCGTCGTTTGTCTTCGTCCATACACCGCTCCGGGGTGCCCCGTCCTTAGTGCGGAGGATGCGTTGCACCAACTGCATCTGCTCGGAGGTGTACTGCTTGCCATCCTCAGGAGGGATCGTCCAGTTCCAATCCACCGGGAAAAAGCGTTTTGCATCGGGACATTCCTCTGGCAGGGCCATGAAATCGCAGTCTGAAGCTCTATGTCCAAGCTTCGTGCCTCACGACCAGCTCTCGACCAGCTCTCGACCAAGCACCAAACATTATCCATCATGATCCCCGAACAAAACGCCAAAACCATTTGGCGTTCAAGTTGCCACACATGAGAGAGAGAGAGAGCTTTGTTGTGCAAACAGCGCCACCGCAGCCGCACGGAGTTGAAATTCATTCACCCATCCTCATGAATCCATCCTCATGAACCATCAACTCATCATCCATCATCAACCCCGTCCTTGGTGGTTCGCACGTTGCTGGGTCCGCTGGTGGGCGCGCTGCTCGCCGCTGTGCGGTGCCGGACCCCGCTGCCCAGATCGGGCTCGCTCCGCGCGTGGCGGGGAGGCGAGGCCGCACCAGGGCTGCTGGGCGGCGCGCTCGCGCCAGCTGCAGCCTGTTGGGGACGAAAACGGAATGTGGCAAATGTGCCGATGCGACGATTCTCTGTTCAAACGATTGTAAACAGGTCTACAATGGTCTTGCAGTTGTATTGGTGTGTAACAACTTAGCAACTAGGGAAAGGAGTCAGTCCATCCATGTTTGACCTGGCCTTGGCCACCAGGAAGTGACCATAGGTACAGTACCCATCCTTCTGCTTCGGTCGAAGGGGACATCGGTTGTAGTTGTAGGGTGAGGATCCACACTCAAACTGTTTAACGATCGATACTATATATATATATTTTTAATTTAACATATATCGATCATCCTTTTTGGCTTCGAGTGTTCAAGCAACAACGATAAGCTGCATGCCCTCATATCCTTTTCGAACAAGCAAGTTTCTGCTAAATCCACCCAACAACCCCCGAATCTCTATCATGACTCAATCTCTACCAATGGATTATCTCCCATGTTTGAAACCTCTTCTTCTTCTTCTTCCAATCTCTCCCACACATTCCTTCTCCCCTTTCGCCTGAGCTAGCAGCTCATCGATAGACGTGTCCGTTGGACACATGCGCTTGGCCTTTTGTAAGAAGCGAGAGGCCTTTTCTGCCTCGGACACCGTGGAGGATCAGGACTAAGACGTGAAGGCAGCGACACCGCGAGTCGGTCCAAAACGCAGATGGCGACGATGACGAGACGGTGGTTCTTTGTTGTTGAAGCGAACGCACAATGGTCTTTCGGCTTGTTCGTCCCGAAGACTGGCCGAGGGTTCTGGCAACCAAGGATCATCTCCTCCTGCTAAGGCCGCCTGCGCAATCTGCTTGCACTTCTCGATCTCCTCCTGGAAGAGAGGCAGTTAGCTTTTGGGCATGGCGGGCTCACCTGCCTTGAGTAGCTAGTAGACCCTTGCACCCGGGCTTTATGTTGAGTTGCTAGGTGAGGCGGGCCAAGCAGTACACTTTAAAGAATGGGTTCACAAAGGATCTCATCACCTGGCTTGTTCTCCTGAATGCAGAATGCTACACTGGCAGATAGCGCAAAAAATACTCCAATCTAAGTAGTTCATGTGGACGCAGAAGACATCTTCACCTACAGGTACCTCGTCCACCCGTGCAGAATGCCCGACACCCTCCTTATTGGCTTCAGACATGGCCAAAGAGTCTCCAAGGGACAGCACAGTCGTATGGCGTTCCGTCGCAGAAAGCAAACAACTTGTGCCTGGATATGACGCCTTCAACGCAGTGTGTTGGATGGATGAACATGTTGGGATGAAGAGCCTTGTGCCAAGGGCTTACTTGAAAAGAAGCTTGGAAGCTCTCCTTAGCTATATACCCCAAACTGGTTCAAGTGCAAGCTCAATGCCTTTGATTTGCTCTGGATCATGCCACATGGTTTGATATTGGCTTTCACATGCATGACATCCATTGCTCAGGCTTTTGAGCTCGGACTCTGAGCCAGAAATCCTGCCAGGCTGACCCTGGTCCCCCGGTAACCCCCAAACCAAAACGAACTGGGCGACGTCGCTTGCGATTCGTTGGTTGGTTTGCGGGAAGGACGTCGCTTGTTGCGGTGTTCCGATTCTTTCCCTTTTCACCATCGACGGGGGGTGGATGGCGATGGCATGGATGAGGCGGGGCGAGGTCGGTGAAACGTCTGCAGGTTTCGGAAATCCAGAGGTCCCATGGTCTTGGGCGTTCAAAATGAAGAATGGCGTTCACCAAAAAGAGCTTCTCAGATCCTCTGCCTTTTCCGGGTGAAACACCCTGTTGTTTCGGACATCTGCTGGTAACAGCCTCCCACAAAATAAGAGGGACGCGATGGACTTATGATCCAGCTTAGAATTTGCTGATTCAGGACTGCAACTTCAGTCATGTGTAAAACGTACATTCCATCATTCCTATTTTACAGCGCCTATATATATATATATTAGATGCGTATTTATATATATATAGATACACTTGCAGATTCCGTGCGCACAAGGAAGTTCATGAGGAGAAATCAACAAATAAATATCTGATGAGCAAAACCAAGTATCTACAAGACACAAATGAATACAACCGATCCTTTCATCCCACTTCGCCAAATGTCCCCCGCGCAGAAAGGAGTGAGGTCAACCACATAGACACTGACTGGCTGAGCTTTCTTCCCGTCTTCAAACTCAACCCTCGACCCCCAAATCTGTGTATCTAGTAGCAGGAAATCACGGACACATCGTGAAAAATGACATCCAATCCGGTGAACGTTGGATCCAATTTGGTGTAACCAAGCAACATCAACCGAGCAACTCCCCGCAACTCAGCTCCAGCTTCGTACTTACTTCAGAGCCTGACCCACCGTCCGCAACATCCGCCTCAGCGGGCTTGAAGAGCACAGGCCCCAGGTCGTAGGCAAACCTGGCGCCGGTCCGTCGCGCGCCGTCGCGCCAGCGAGCCGGTCCGTCGGATCTCCGCCCGAGCGTGATATCGCAAGTTCAGAGAGAGAGAGAGAGAGAAGGACTTGAAATCATGAGCTTCAGTCGCTTTTTCCAAAGAAAAGGAGCTCCTACACCTCCACTCTTTGACACGGTCTCGCCACACAGAAAGCGATCTGAGATCCCTCACAGGCGGTCCACGAACATCAAGGCGTGCTCTTTGTAGCTCCACCTGAGTTGAGATGGCGAGAGTCGATGAATCGAAGAGGATCTGTCGTGAAATCCGAGAGACCAAGGGAGGCTTTAGGACTTGAGCGGGGAGCCTCGATCTCTAGGTGATGATTAACATCTAAGCATCTAGGATTAGGATCATCCAATGTCGACTTGTGCTTTGATTGAGAATAGCTTGTTACTTTGTCCTGCTTTGCTTTCCTTCGTTCCCCACTGTGCCCAAACTTTTAATCTTGAAGAAGCACAATTGAAGACCATCTCCATGCTGAGAACTCTGCCACCCATCCCTGGCGTTGCTTGGACATTTTCCCCCTAATCACAAGCAGCCGCGCAGCTTCGGCTCCTGCCAGGCGCGAATGAAGCAATCCAAGGGGGGGTCCCCAAAGTCCTGCAGCCCCGAACACTACTCTTGAACGTGAAACCCTCTGAGGGAGTCCATTTCAGTATGTTGGAAGCAACACGTGGACACACACCCACACAAAGCCTGACATACACTGATTAGGTGTCGCACATGGGCGGGCATAGTTCACAGTGACATCATGCTTGCTGTGCCCTCCTCTTCATGGCTTTCAAATCACACATCACATCGTGTCTTGACACAATACTCATCAATACTCATTTCCAATGATGACAGCAGATCCATATATATATATATATGTATATATATATATATATCCAGAACCATGGGCGAACTCGACACCAAAAGAAACATCTTCCCTTTCGGATGGGTCTTGCTCCGCTTCCACATGCGGATCGGATGCGGGGCCCAGGTGGGATGCGGGCCCAGATGGGGCCCTGAAAATCACATCGGTTTCGTGGCCCGACTCGTTAAAGCTCCAAGGATCCAAAAAGAGTTCTTAAACATAGAATCATATTTAGACCATTTATCTAAAATATTTTAGAATGATATCATATGTTTTTCTTCATGTGTTTCCATCTATCTAAAAGAATTCGCACTAAAATTAGATCTCCGTATAACCTCTGGTGTCCTTGGTGTTGGGAATTTATAGGAGTCACCTGTTTCTGAGATTTGTCTCGATGAACGCAAAATCACTGGGGGCGAGAGTGTGAGAGTCTCCCTTTTGCGACACATTTTTCAGTCAGCCCTTGGACAATCCAGGCCACCAACATCTGACTTTTTACTTTAAAGCCCCCCAGTCACCAAAATGTCACCAACCTCACCAACCACACGGCGGGACATGTCCACAAGGTGTGTTTCTGTTCTTAAGCAAACGATCTTGCATCATCTTACTCTGCGTGCATAAGCTTTATCCGTGTCTTTTCCATGATCAGAAGCTGTATCGCTCACTCAACCCACCCAAGTTCCGCTCGTTCGCTCTGCCCTTGCCTTTGGCCACCACTGGCAGGCTCAGCAAAAAGAGACCCGCTCTTCTGCAGGCTCAGAGCGGTCGCCAACGGCGAGCGACCTGGACCTCTAGACCGGTGGCGTTTTGGAAGTCGGACTTCATGAAGTAGCAACTGAAGCGATGCCTCGCATCGGGACGAAGCGAGGAACGAAGGGGACGATTTCCGCGAAGCACGCGGTGCGAAAAGGGAAAACGGGTGCGAGCGAAAGGGCAAAGGCTCGGCACGCGGCACGCGTAAGAGGTGCGGAAAAGGGGTGCAGCGGGGTAGGGCACAAGGAGAAACAGGGTTCAACTTCTAGTAATTAGTCAGGTTGCAAGAACAATGATTGAAGAGTTGGTGTGGAGATGTTCGTAGGACATCTGAAACCGAGATGCAAAGCTATACAGTATATGGTATTCTCGTCATAGTTCCAAACGTGCGTCAGCACAGTGACGCTGGGTCGAACATTAAGGTTGTGGTTGTTGTTGTTGTTGTTGGCTCGGGTTTCAGGATACCTCTTCCAGGGTCTTGGTTTCTCATGGGAAAAGAAACAACACACTTGGGTTGCTTAAGAACATCTGGGGGTTGGTGACAACAACTTAGTCTATAATTATCTGAACATTATTACATGTTATTACCGTCATCATTGCGCCAGGGTGGCTCAAAAATGACTCCCAGAAACTCAAGTTTTATTAAAACCATCCGAAACCTATTTCAGGTCGCGTTTTTCTGGTGTAGGGCCTACGGGATTTCTTTTCTGTCTATGGGGGGAGGGGCAGGTCTGCAGAATTCGGGCGTCAAAATGGATTCACGTCCCACTTGCAAAAAAAGGACTTGGCGATTCTTGGAGCAAAATTACTGTTGACATGTGCAAATCCATGCAATCAAAAAAAAAATATATATATATATTTAATTTATAGGTGGGAGGGCCTGTTGCTGATCCTTTTGCTGCTGTCTGACCATGACCTTCATCTCATGCCCACACCCTTTGGTCATGCAAAACCGGTACGTAACTCCTCAACCAAAAACCAAGTTCTTCCCCCACAAAGAATCGGGAGAACCCACCCAAATCCCGGTCACCCAAACCTTTTCAAATACTGGAGCACGAGGTCATTGAGTCATGCCCTTCTCATTGAGATGCTTTTTCCCACTCCCCCCCCATCTCCAGCCCAGTTGCGGAAAGTTCAACATCGCCAGCGCCAAGACGACTTGTTCAGCCGCCTTGGTCCCTGCCAGTTGAAGCTTCAAAGCATTCTTCTCCCTCAGCGCCTCCGGCCAAAACAGGGGCGACGTGAGCTTGGTGAGTGGTTGTCCGGTGAGTGGGCAAGCTGAGCTATTGAAGGACATCTGAACAAAGAGATGGACAAAAACAGAAAGCTTCGGCTTAAGGCGAAGCACCCCACCCCATACAGTAGGGTGCACCCAATTTGGCAGGGTGGACCAGAAGATCCATTTCAGGATCGAACAGATACATGATGACTCAGTCGCATGGAAGACAACGGTAGGAGTTCGATTTTCCTCTAGGAAACAGGTGGTGCCATCCACTTACATGTGAGTGAGTCAGTGTGATGCATCATGGACGTTCGAAGATGGGCCCTATCCAAGCTCAATAGCCTCAGTCGACCTGCCAGTACCAAGCAAGGCGCACGACCACAAGTCTTAGCAAACCCATCAAACAATTCTGTGTCACTGTGTGTTCAACGTCGAGGACAAGAACACCAGCAACAGCCTTTGTGACCTGTCTGCGGTCTCACTTCCATGTCAATTCTTTGTTCACCGCACGGAATTCACACGCAGAAACAAGGATCCAGAGTGTGAAAACGAAGATCCAGAGTTAAGTGCTCATGTCAACAAGCACGAAACAACCTCCAACATGCCCACCTTTTCCATTTTCGCCACCAAATACTTGGGGGCTGTCTCCGCAGAAACAGAGATCTTCGCCGCTTTCGCAGGCATCGTGAGTCCTCAAACGCTTGGCCGCTTGACCAAGGGGTTTTCTTGGTTTTGTCCCCAGGGGTCTGGGTCACCCCATTCTCATCCTCTTTTTTCTTGCTCTGTAAACACCCACACCCACACAAGGTTAGTGGCTGCACAAAAAAGTGGAACAAACAATAAACGAAAGTCTGTCGAATTACTGCCCCCCAAAACAAAGGATAGTCTTTTACAACGCTTGAACCCCTGCCGTTCTTCAGTGAAGAAGTGACGGTAAAGTTGTCAGTGTCTGCCTCATTCAGTGTTGCAGCCAGGACATTTTCGACCGTGCAGCTGCGGAGTGCACAGGGTAGCGTAAGCTAGAACGAAACGCGGGGCAAAAGCGCAAAGAAAGCACGCGGTGTTTCCGAAGCAAAACGCTTGTGACAAGCTGCGGTGCGGATACATGCAAAAGTCAAATCATGTCAAGCTACCTATCTGTACCTAGCTATGATCTTCACATAGCCAAAAGAGTGTGTTGACATGATTGCAACTGTACATACTGTACATGAGCAGGCGCTGCCTGAGAAGGTTCGCGGCCCTTCATGCGGTCCTTGCGACGCTGTCGCTGTGCCTTCCTCAAACCTTTCCTGTGCTCCTCTAGCTTCCGCTCGTCCTCGGTCTCCTTGAGAGAAATCCTGGGGAGCTTGCAGAAGGTCTCCCATAGGATGTTCTTCATCTTCTTGGTCAACCCATCTGCATGTTGGCGGTGAGTTGGAACCGAGAAAAGTTCGTAGGCACCTGACTCGAGGTGGTCACGAGCCACCATCAAGTCAAGCATGGTCTGCCGCTCTGTCGGGATCTGTCCTGTTGTACCCATGTGGTCATACAGGCTCTTGGCGTCAGTGACAACGCCTCCAGAAATTCCCATTGTGGTTCGCCAATTCTCATCCAGAGTCTTGTACCCGTAGAGCATCATGTCGATAACGAGTCGACCATACAAATGGCGGTCCACGCAAATGCTCATTGAGCATGCTTCGGCAGACATCGAGCTGCGCAGCACTCGAGAACTCTTGTTTGTACTGAATTCAACTGGCGCGGCGGCGGCCGGTCCTGTACGAGCTGCTGCAGTGGTTAGAAAGTGTACGGCACCCAACTGTGACTTTCCATCGGATTCTTTCCCGAGGGACGCATCGAAGTAACTGACATAGAACCACTTATTGTTCTTGTCCAGCGGTGGATAGGTCAACCTGGCTCGGCCAGCATTGGCTTCTTCCACAAACTTCTGATGCAATTTTACTGCTTCCTTGTAGTCTGCATGGGTTGCCTTTGTCACCCTCTGCGCCAGATTGGAGACTTCGTCCAACATGTGTGGCATTGTTTGCTGTGCCGGCCAACGAAGACGCATAACCAACTGGCGGTATAGTGTGACTTCACGAGGTCCCAAAAGACCTTCCCCTTGCAGCTTTTCGACTTTGATTTCTTTGATGTACCTGCTCATGTCGTCATGAAATCCAGAAGAATCCCTGGTGATTTCAACACCCAGGAATTGAATTGGCTTCTCTGCAGTGACTTCTTTCCATTCCTTGATGGTGAACAGGTTGTCAATTTGCTTGCGCAAGGCGATTACCCGAGGGTCGCTGAGATCGCCCAGCAATAAGCCATCATCAACATGCAAGCAAAGAATTGCCCAACTATCTTCCAAACACCGTTCACTCCGGGAGCCTCCGGCAACAAACGTGGAGCGGCTGACTGCTAGCTCTTTGAGTGGAGTGCCCTTAAGTCGGTCCACTGCCTCCAGGTACCACAACCTTGGGGATTCTGTGAGACCATAGGCACTTTTGAGAATCGCAAGCAACTCTCCTGACTTGATGGGTGGCCATCCCATTGCCGGTGGCAAACCCTCGCGAGGTGCTCGGATGTACAATTTACGAGAAGTTTCCTTCCCACTCAAAAATGCAGTCGTGACATCGAATGTCACTCCTCCCCATCCGCGGGCAGCAGCAATAGCCTTTGCTGCTCGAACTGCAGCCTGTGGGCATGTAGGTGAGTCAGTGCGGAACTCACCCAGGTGTGGGTCCAAATGACCTGGTACAATCAGCCGTGACTTGGCCACCAAAGGCAGAAGTGGGCTTGCTGCTTTGTTCACCCGTAACATGCGCAGCGGCGCTCTAAAGATGCACGAAGGCGGGACATACTCGCCCTTTTCCACCCTCCGGACGACCTTGTTCTTGATCCATTCGGACCATTCTTTGATGTCCGATTTGTTGAAGGCTTGTCGCTCGAAAGCGTCAAAGAAGCTAGGGTCCAGCTCTTTGCCACTCTGTTTCATCCTTAGAATCATCACTTCAGCAAGGAGGGTATCGTGCATTTCCTCCAGCCAAATTTGCTGGAACTCTGCTGCCTCACTGGTGGTGAGCGTCACCCCATGAATGCCGTCTGGCAGTTCGACAAATACTTCCGTAGGCTTGCTTGGGTCTTCAGTACGGTAAAACAGTGTAAGACCCCGCCACTCGAAGCTGGCTCGCCGACGGGGATGGGCTGCAACCTCTGCGTCTTTCTCATTGACAATGAAAGTGCTTGCTGGATCCTTTCCAATGAGGATACTCAAGCGGGAGCGCGACACCATCTTCGGGGGTCGTTGCAGCCTCTTCCGTGGCGCTCTGTGAATGCGAGCTGCTGTAACAGGCAACCCTGTCAGCTGTCTTAGCAGTTCCACTTCATAACGAGAAACCCACTCATTCTGTAGGGTTCCATACACAGCGCTGGCTGCAGTCGCTGCGCAGAAGTTGCTTCTGAGGCGCTTCACTGCTCGATCAGCATCTTCTTCAGTGATGCCACCTTTCCTTTTGATCCCATGTGGGACACCATCTTGAAGAATGCGACGGCGTTCTTCCTGAGGAAGATGTCTGTACTCTTCCAACCACTCATTTTCATCCATGGGTGGCACTGGAACATCTTCAGCCCGCGGGGCTTCTGTAGGTGGCTCCGCTGGAGCTGAACTTGGAGCAGGAAGCATAGGCCGCGGGCCTTCCTGTGGAGCCTCTGGCTCTGGTGCTTGAGAAGGTGTATACTCCTCCATTGAGTCTTGAGACTCCGCCGCAGGCGGTGGAGGTAGGGCCTTCTTGACTTTCTTCCTCGGCTCTACCGGATCTCCTTTCTCTGGCGGCTGGAGCTGTACCTTGCGCTTCCTGAGCTGTTCTTTGAATCCAAACCGGCTCTTGAGCAACTCCCGGATTGACTTGGTGCCTCGCATCATCAATCGGGCACGTTTGCGCTCAGGGTCATCTCTGATGTGCTTCCGCTTGGGAGCTCCTTTGAAATGGGTTTGGTCGTGATAGGCGTTATCACGCTCTGGATCGCGAAGCATCTGGCCAATGGTTTCTGCATCTTCTTTTGCGGGCTCATTCATGGCCAGTTCTTCCTTTGTAGCCAAACGCATGTTTGGCGTTGCAAGGAGCAAGGCGCGTCCTCTCCAGCTAACAAAATAGCGTTGGTGTCCTTCACGAACCAAAACTGTTGCAGGTCCACGCCAGATACCTCCTCGACTGTATCTTTTTGAAGCTTTCTTAGGCACCCAGAAGTAAATCTGGCATCCAGGAACATATGGACCTTCCGTGTCCACACCGGGCTTCCTCAAAATGGCCCGTTTCATCTTTTCCTGGACATCCATCCGGATCAGTGCTAACCTGGCAGTGGTTCTCATACGATGGGATCTTGCAAACTCAGTCTCGGTGTCCAAGCTCTCTGCAAAGCTAGGCTTGACATCGTCCTCCAAAAGACTGGGATAGCGGACCTCCGTTCCAAACAACCTCTGGTTGGGGCTGAAACCATCACGGGTAATGGTCATGTTCTTGGCTGCCAGCGCTGAGCTCAATGCCAACTTCATGCCATGGAAACCTTCCGTGACGTGCTCGGTTGTGATTGCTCCAACCATGGTTCCCAAGATTCCTCCACGCCGTTCTCCGACGGCCAACTGCCAACCGGCATGCGATCCGGTGACTGTGCTGGGCGCAGCCATTTGCTCCAAAAGCTGTGTAAAAGACAGTTCGAACTCGCCGCCTTGGTCATGATAAATATGCCCTGGGGCTCCAAACAATTGTACCCAGTGAACCAAGAATTTACGGGCGACGTAGTCTGACCTTCTGGTCTTCAACATGCAGCCTGCATGGTACACAGTTCCAAGGTCAACAATACTCAAACAAGGATACTTCCGACCCTGGGTGTCGAAGAGATACTTGATGTCAATGTGCAAAACTCGGTTGAAAGCAAATGGTCTTGAAGTAGCAGTTGTGGCGAGTGGATGCTTTGGTGGCTGCTGCATCCTGCAGACATCGCAATGCCATCGGCGAGCATGCCGGATTGCATCATCATTCGCTCCTGAAATTCGCAGCGTGCGAACAAGTGTATCCCTGCTGGGATGGCCCAACTGCCGGTGGGCAAATTCAACAGCCCTCTTCACCTCTTGAGAGATGGGTCGCCTCTCCTCCTCTTCAAGATCATTCTCGCTCTCATCCTTGTAGGATTGAATACGTTGTTCTTCCTCATCGATGCCTTCCTCTCCTTCTTGGATTGCCTCTTCTGGCACCTGGTCATCCAACATATAGACCTCCGTGCGGGTGTCATTGGCCTGCTTGTCCAAGAAGGTGTGCACGCCTCGCATGATGGCGCGGCACAGCGGCAGGGGGTAGCCACCTGCCCAAGAGGAAAGCGAAATTCTGCCATAGGCACTGGTTTTGACAGTGCCCTCAATCTGGTGATGTTGATGATCACCAGGACAACGGTGGTGGAGTTCCGAAACTACTTCAGCTTGACCCACAAACCTCGTGGGCTTCTTGATAGGCATGCCGTTCTCTGGATGGCGAAGTCCATATTGACATTGATCACAAATAGCTTCATCCAGATGGCCGAAGGCATCAATGATGTCAGGTTCCTTCCATGCCAATGAAAGTAACTGGGTTCTCACCCAAAATGGCCCGACCGCTCCGAGCCTGCCACAATGTGACTCTGCGGGTGAATCGAAGTAGTTTGCGAGCTTCAACTCGCCGTGCAAGAAGTGCTTGTTTCTGAGTCCATGTCTTCTGGTTGGCGTTCTGCATGATGGTCCATTCCGTGCATGGCCATGCAACCGCGATGAAATCAGGGTTCACACGATGAAGGTAATCCCATGCTTCCTTCTCAACTTTTGGGGATTTGAGATCCCAACCTGGAAGTGTCAGGGGTTCCAAATACTCCCAACCCAAACCATAAGCAAACCTTGACAGGAGGCAACTCCAGGTAAAGATCTCTAGGATCTTGTAACCTGTGCGAAGGCGACGAATGCGAGGCACTTTTTCCGGGCAGGAGCGTCGCTCAGCTTCTGCCGTTGCAGCCTCGCTGATGCCTTTGGCAGCAGCCAAGATCCTGCGGCGCTGGCCTTTGCTCAGGATCTCAGTCTCGCCGGCGCAGCCGGATGTCAAGATCTCGTGGAACTCCTCTTCAGCCTTTGTCTCGTTGCTGGTTGTGGAGTCCTCATCCTGGTAGTCGGGATCATGCGAGGTCTCAGATTCGCCCTCGCTGATGGAGCCCTCATCTGAGCTCATGGGATCCAGTTGTGGCTTGAAGACCTTTGGGGCGTTGATGGCATCCAATGTCTCGATTGCTTCATCCTCCATAGTCTCCTGCCACATAGCCAGCTGCTGCGGGGTTTCAGGTCCATGCACAGCGGCCTTCAGGACCTCCTGTGGCACCTCACTTCCAGAGTCAGAGATGCTGTCCAGGGCATCTTGAACCAATGCGAAGGAGTGTGGATCGCTCAACAGGCGCTGCCTGAGTTCTTCTAAAGGTTTGATGCGCCACTGTTTGGGATTCGGGTGTGATCCCATATTGAGCAAACCCAAGATCGGGTGCCTGGATGGAGACATCACTGTAGGCCTCCAAGTGCCATGAATGCCAACCTGCAGGGTTGCGAAGTCGATCTGCACCTTCCAACGTGCCAGTTCTGCCGGACCTACCAGTCCGGGGCATTCTGATACCCTGCTGTCCGTGCTGGTGTTCTCAACCAAGGCAATGCGTACCCAACTCTTGTGGTCATAGATCTGGACGGGGTAGATGTACGCCTTGGTTGACAAGACAGGGTCACCAGCTCCAAAACGGAAGATCTCCTCATGGTCCGCCGTGAAGTATTCCATGCCACACTGCTCCAATGCACGCTGGAAATCAACATGCCAGAGCTTGCCGGCTACTGCTGTTCGGCAACCTGTGTCGAGGATCACGTGACCTGGAGGCATGTTCATTTGCATCATGGCCTCGCGGTACTCCTCTTGTGTTGGGGCTGCCGCCTTGCAGCTCGGCGCGGCCGTGGCTGCCATTGCACCATGGACTGTGCTGTAATACAGGACCTTGCGCAGCTTGCAGTCCTTGCATGTGGCCCAATGTGCATGGGCATTTGCTCCCCAGACCAGGCGATCGAACTTGTGGCGGCACGCCTCCTGGTCAGCCGTTGGGATGTCCGAAGCCTCTGATGGCTTCAAGCGTCCTCGCTTGTCGAGCGCAGCTTCATACAAGGACTTGCGGAACTCCTCCAATCTCTTCTTCTTGACTGGAGTTGGCAGGTTCTCCTGCTTCTCTGGTGGCTCTTGAACCTGATCCTTGCCACGTCGATCAGGCGTGGAGTAGCCATAGCCGCCCTTGCGCTGTTCAGGGCGCTTCAACATGGACCGCTCCGGGGTTGTCGAGCGGCCAAAGATCTCGAGGATCTCGCGTTCCTGGTCCTTCTTCAGCTGCTTGTAGAGGATCTTCTTCTCCTCTTTGGACATCTTGGGGAGCAGCTTCACCAGGTCCTCGGTGCTCAGGCCAACATCCTCCTCCAAGCGTTCTGGCTTCTTGTGCTTGGGTTTGGCCTTTGGACGAGCCTCTGTGCTCGATGTTGCACCGGTAGCCCTGGCTGTGGCACGTTCTGCAAGGCGCTTCTCCTTCTTACGGAGCCGCTGGATGGTTTCTTCATCTTTCTCATCCTCCAGCAGTGAGCGCAGCACCGTGAGAAGCTTCACTTTAATCTTCTCCTTTGCTTGCTTGGATTGGGAGGCTTGCGAACTCTCCGACAGCTTGAGTTGGTAGGCCAGGTCCTCTTCTTCACTTTCTGAGGCTGCACTTGAGCTGCTATCCACCTCCTCATCATCGGACTGGTACCGTCGGATTCGCTCCCATCCATGCATCATGGTCCAATTGACCTGCCTTGTACTGGTGCCCTCTGTAGGTGCGGGAGCCTCCGCTGCAGCAGTTGCGGTTGTTGTATCTGCTGCTGCTTCCCTTGTTGCCTCGGTGGCATTGGAAGCTTCTTCTGAGGGAGCTGGAGCCTCTGGTGGAGCTGGTCTTGTCACGTCGACCGGCTCAGCCATTTCAGGCTTGCTCCTCCTCCGGCGCCGCCGGTGCTCAATGTCAGGGCGTGCCTCACCTGGCTCACCTTCTGAACGGCGACGCCGTCGCCTCTCTCGAGACTTCTCTGGGTCTCGGATCGGCAGCGGTGCCGGTTCTGCTGCCTCTCTCTCTGCCGCTGGCGGTGGTTTGGTCTGTTGCTCTGCCGCGGGCTGAGGTTTGGCCTTTCGTGGCTTGGGCCAGATCTGCTTAGCAGGACGGGGCTTCATCAACGGAGATGGAGGCGGTGACGTTCTTGTACTGTCAATGGCATCTTGGATGCTATCAAAGACCAGATATTCTTCTTCGCCTGGTCGTCGAGCTTTGATCTTGGCCGATAGCCCTTTTGTACCCGGCTCAGGGATCTTCGGCGCCTCATCGTCGCAGTTGTCATAGTAATCCCTGTCGCTGCGGCGCTTGGTACCCGTTCGCTCCCTTTCCGGAGGTGGGTACGATGGCTCTGCCGGTCGCCGCCGGTCTGGCAGGGGCTGCGGCCTCCTGCGAAGTGGCTCACGCTCAGGCGGTGGTCCAGACTTCACTGGCCTGGCGGGTCCTGCTGAAGGGTGGCGCTGCCCCTTGTGAGTGCCCGTAGTGAAGTGAGCCTCATTGTCCCGCTTCTGGTGAACTGCATCTTTACCTGAGCGGACATTTGGGCATACCTCATCGCCCTTCCAATGGCCTCGTTGGCCGCAGCTGGCGCAGGTGGAGTTCTTCTTCCTGGCATCGGGGGTCCTGGTGTCTGGTGGTCGCTTGCTCTTGCCCTTTCCTTTACCTTTTGGCTTGCCATCTCCCTTGTAGCCACGGCCTTTGCGTTGTTGAGCCGTCTTGGACTTGGCTGACCAGCCGGCGGAGAAGGCTTCTTGGAGGGCACCTCGATCCACCGTGTCCAGGTCCTCGTCATCATCATCGTAGTAGCCCTCATCATCTTCATATGCCTCTTCTTCCGGCATGTCTTCTTCGGCCATGAGGGCTTCATGCTCCAGATCCTCATTGTCTGGGTCTCCGAAGGAGTCCTCCTCATCATCATACTCCCAGTCGTCCTCTGCATCCGCCCAGTGTGTATGGCGGGTTGGCTTGTAAGGACCCCTGCGGTCTGTTCGCTTGACCGACTTCCGAGGCGGCGGCCTACGGATTGGTGCTGTGCGGTCTTCTCGATGAGCTGTAGGCTTGCGCTCATCCAAGTGAAGTTGACTGCACCTGAAGCGAAGCACCCGTTCAATGTCAGCAGACTTGTAAGCACCTCCAGCTGCAAAGAACACATCATATCGTTCTCTGCGAGTGAGCGCGGCTCGAGACAGCATCCTCTGGGCGAATGCCCTGTCTGAGATCACTGAGCCAGGGTCTTCTTTGAGGTATTCTGTTCTCAACCTCTTCAAAGTGGCCAGATAGGCCGCCACGCTCTGGCCGCGTCTGTATGACATGAACTCCGATTGCTTCTCTTCGAAGCGTTCATCAGCCTTTGCACCATAGGCGTCCTCGAGAAGGCGAAGTACTCGATTGAGGCCTCCTGCTGACCTCATGTCTTCAATCTCAAGTTGATTCCCCTCAAAGTCCGAGGACCCTAAAAGGTAGGACCGGTGCCGAGGAGGTCCTTATTGGGCCGAGGGCCGAGGATTTCTATGGTTTTGCCGAGGCTTCATAGCCGAGGAATGCCGAGGAATTCTTTCAATGACTCATGAAACCTCACTCAGATTTCACTTTTTTCCTCCAGCTCACTGTTTGCGGGCCAGTGCTTGGGCGTTGAGAAACGCTATACGATATCTCAAAGCAAGGAGACGAAACCCTGCCAACTTCAAGACTCCTTGGGAGTACTTCTTGCCGGCACTGACACGTCGTGACATCCTCTTGAGGAGCCCCATAGCATCCTCATCAATCCACCCTGATGTAAAGCGGGGGTTGAATCCTCAACTGCTAAACGCTGACCCAAAAGATTCCAATCTGACTGGGGGTTCATGAATGGTTGAACATTTAAACACTGAAGCTCATGCCATAGGAGGGGCCTTAAGATAAAAGGAAAACTGTTGAACATTGGAAAACAGAATTGAAGCACAGCCAAAGGTTCGCCATTCGTGGATTCTTTTAAGTTGCTCTTGCCAGGCCTTAGCACATGTGACACCGCAGACCAAACGACAACTCTGCCCTTTCAAAGAGAGCAGCCCCTCTACACGCTTTATGAAGACCAAGGGGCATGGAACTTAGGTTTCAGGAGCCATCTCTTTCGAAGCATCCTGCAGCCAGTCGGATTCATTGTGATAAAACCGACCCTGGGCCAATTGGTCGGAATTTAGATCTGCTTGGTACCTCCAGTAAATTAGTGAAAAGCCGGTGGTCCTCACAGCGAGCACACTCAAGCTCTGGTGGGCACGAAGGTAGTCATAACCCAGCTCGCAGAGTTCTGCCGCTTGTGGCTCAGTCCTCCGATAGGTTTAGATGGCATGTGAGAATCCACATGAATCCACCTTGCTCCTGTGTTGGGGACCTAATGTATAGTGTCTTGTGTTCAAACATGCACCCCAATCCACTCATATCACCGTTTGAATCCAGGGTGCATAAAACGGGGATAGCGATCGCTCAGTGCCATATACCGGGAGATCGAAATCCTGAGGATGGACAGGGCTGGATTGAAAACTCACAAAGATCGATTTAAATTTATGCCAATGGAGGAATGTAAAACATTCAGAGAAGACTGGAACTCAGAGTGCCCATCATGTTGTCCACAGCAAAGACAACAATAGGAAGCTAAGACTCAAAGAAAAGCAAAGCGGAGCCAACTGCAGATCTTGAAGTGACGCCCGAAGCAAACGGGGCTGGTGGGAAAGCCACGTCCCAAAGGTCCTTCCATCAGCTTCACTAAAGGTGCGCTGCCACAGCCGCTCAGCACAATCCGCCAACCAATCTGCCAATAGCCTTGAGTTGTATCCTTTTGCGCTCCAGTAGGCTCCATGGGATTTCTTGAAGATCATCTTGATCGTGAATTTGCTTTGCGACGAATGCCTGCGCTCCGTCTTCATGAAAGCTCGGAAGTCATCCCAAGCAGCTTCAACAAGGAGGGCAAGGCTTTGAGTTGGGTCACCCCAGAATCCCAACTCTGCAAAGGTTGCAAAGGCAGCACCATTCGATGTCCAAAGAAGTGCGAGGTTCAGGTTGTGCAACTGACAGGGATGAATCAAAGATACGTGAAAGTTCTTCAGCAAGATAAAGGGATTCACCCTTTGAGACGCACCGGATCCGACGATCTGATTGATGAAGGTGACATTTGGCAGCCAATCAATGTCACGTAGTAGTGGCCAGGCTCTTGCTCCAAATTTGTCCACGTTGCAGAATGGGCAGGGTCTGTGGGAATTCCAATGGCGGCTGAACTGCCAAAAGAACCTCATCCAAGCCCAATCGCCTCCTATCTCGCAAACAGCAAACCGATGTCCAGTCTTTGGAAGTCGATTGTCATATGCCTCATTGAGGGACCATACCATGCGAGCCAGAACTGGCAGCAGCCCCTCGAAGCCTTGAAACTGTGAGGACTTTTGCGCCCAAATCAGAAAACCAGAGTTCCTCGCCGCTCTCGGTCGCCACAACGGCAATGACATATAAATTGCATGTGCTTTGCTACCCTTGAAGTCGTAGACGCAGTCATCACCAAAGATCTTCAACGGAATCCGGTCGCCCGGTTCATTGGAAGCCCAAGGGCAGTTTCGGTCAGCTGCCTCTTTCCAATACCTCGTAACCTGTTCTCTGTCAATGCATAGGCCAACTTCGTCAAACAAATACGCCAATATTGCGTGCGGGTCATACATAGGGACCAATGTGTAGCCCCAGCCTTGCAACTCCCTTTGGGTAGGGGCTGGACAGTCAACAAAGGTCATCTCCTCGCCAGAAAAACGAGGAGTGAGCACACACCTCACCTCCCTTGCAACAATCAGCCTTTAAACACACAAACATGCTAGCGCTGCTAACTTGCCACCTTGTTGTCGCTTAACAACGAAAACAGTTTTGCCAACACCATGTCCAATGGCTGCTTCACAGCCTTGGCAAAGTCACGGCTCCAGTTCCATTTGGAGTAGGACCCGAGCTTAACAGTCATAGGCGCTAGGCTATTTCGAGACTCCTGGCCACAAAGGAACCCGATTGGAGCTGAAGCATAAGGGGCAATGTGAATCTTCCCATCCACATGTACCTCCCCAATCATTTGAACAAGGCACCCCAAAATCTCATAGCTTGGTGCTTGCCACTATTTGACTGGTAGAAACTAACCAGCATAGGAAAAAACAAAACCTGGCCCAAAATGAACGACCCATAGCGATCAATCAATCGATCTGGAGATGATTGGCTACAGCTCCCTTATACATTGGGTTAAGGATCAATTCGTATAAGACTTTGGGCACAGTTGTTGGGCAATGGCTCCTTGCAAGCCGCCTGCGCCGTTCGCATTTCCTTGCTGAAGCTTGAGGCCTCATCGACAAAGCAGGTCTTTGTCGAACGGGACCCCCCAAAGACTCATGATCGATATCAATAGTGTGAGCCAAGCTTGATGTTTTTTTGTTGCTTTGGTGGTGTCTGGAGTCTGGAAGCAATCTGTTTTTGCTCCACCCAATTTCTGGGAACCAGGCACCATCCCCAATCTCTGAGACAATGTTGGCAAACAGCTCTTGCGCATGATCGGGAGCAGTTGAAGCAGATGGAGGGTCACCTGGCACGAGCAAAGATCAATCCACACGTTTGTACGACCGAAACGTGGGGTTAGCTGATGAGCTCGAGATTAAGTGTTGGGCGACTCTGGATCTGGAGGGGTCCCTCTATTTGCTGATTTTGGGTATCAACTGAACCTTCGAGCGGGGTTGCTTTTCGTCTCGGGATTGGTTTCATTTCTGAAAGATGCATGCCACCTGCAGTCAACAGCGTTGTCTAAGGCAAGTACGACCCCACACAATATCGAGCTAGCATGCATGTACAATCCATTTTTGGGCATTCCATGTAAAGTACTGTTCATTGCGCGTTTTGACTTTTTCACTCGGAGCTCCTTTGCTTCTGGTCAGGCTGAATGGATCCAGATCAATCCAACGTCACTAGTTCGAGAATCCCCATGTGCCTCAGCCGTGTTCTAAGCCTGAAGACTACACTCCCAAACGTGCAGCGGGCAGGCATTCACAGCCGGTGCAGAACTTGGATGGTGCACTGAGCTGGTCATCAACAGCTTGATGATCGATCGAAACCTGGACGGCAAAAAAAACGTACTGGAGTCGGTGGGTGGTTTTGTTGTCCTATGTAATGAGACTATGGTGGAATATACAGCCAGTCTTCCATCCACCCAAAAAGAGATCGCACTACTTCTTTGCTTTCTTGGGCCTGGGCGCGGCCTTCACCTTGGTTTCAGCCTTGCGCTTCGGGGTTGACTTGGTCAGGTCCCCTAGCCCGGACATAGATTCAGTCAACGCAGCCAGGCTTTTATTCACCTGTTCTTCTGATACCTGCACATGCACCAGCGGCATGAAGCAATGCGGACTCATTCATATGAACACTCAAGTCGTGATTTTGCAAGAAAGGACTCAGCGCATATGTGATACATACGCGCGCATACCCTACCGAGCCTCCTTCGGATTCAGACCTAGCAGCGACTCCTTGCACGCCGTGACCTTCTCAATGGCCTTGAGCATCTCACTTTCTACAGCGGTCTTGATGCTTCCACTCCTGGACAGGAGGATGGTATATCGCGTTCTAGATGAGTGGTACCGGTTCCAACTTTACGTGAACGCGACCATCGAGCACACTGTGCCAAGGGACGGAAGCGCAGCAAGATCGACCTTCTTGGCATCTTCAAGCTTCTTGTCAGCGCTTTTAACTGCCTTTACAGTGCCACGATTGGTGCAGAACTCGTAAGGGCTAAAGCGCACACATGTCCAGACTCAAAGACAAACCATGCAATTGCGAGCTTCAACCAAATTTGAACACACTGATGATTGGGGTTGATGCCAGTGTTTTCATAGATCAGAGATGACCCAGGCCTTGTCCACTTTTGAACCAAAGCTGGCCTTCCCACCCTTCTGTGGCTTCTGTTCTTTCTGTGGCAACAGCGGGACATGGACAGATCCAAAGTTAATGGGACCCCAAAATGCTTTGTGTATTGCTGGAAGGATCAGCCACAAAATTGGAGCGCTTGCGATGATCGGCGGCTACAAAACAAAGCACGCTACTTGCCTGAAATTACTGCCGGCTCAAAGAGTTTTTCTGGGCAGCAGGGCTGGTGTTGAAATGGATGGCAAACCATCACATAAAGCTAATTAGCAGTATTTATCCCGATCCATGACATATATCAGTGGATCAATCACAAATCGAATTATCATCAACGGGTACCTTTCGAAGATGGGAAAGTACCCCTTTGGTGCACCAACTCACGATCACGATCTTTCTCCTCCTCACGTAGGTTGCGAACGTCACAGTCACAATCACGGCTGATCATAAGAAGCTGTGCCGCAGACTTCCTAGGATTTATAAGGCCGGTAATTACTATCGAGTCGACATCTCGAACTCCCTTAAAAGTCGACACTGTTTTGAACCAACCGAGTGACTCGTCAAGATACTCTGTCAGCACAAGCGCCCAGCATGAAGCACAAAGCCGCTCGTACCGAACAGCTTCGAGAAGATCGATACATTCTAGTTTCGTCGACATGGCTAAGAGCGCTCTTGAGTTGGACAATGCGTCTACTAGGCTTTTGGACTCAAAATGGCTGTGCGTATATATATATGTATATTTGCAGCATATGTATGCGGCGATCATTGCATTTCAACCCCAAAGACGGACAGGCCTTCCTTTTCTTGTCAGATGAAGAACTGGATGAGGAACTGCCGTCCTTGCATTCCATCACCCGACTGACCCAATCCTCTTTCCGCTCCTCCTGGGAGTCTTTGATGAGGACATGGTACTGCCGGCATTCCTGCCAGATAAAACATAAAGTGGGAACTAAGGGGATTGCTTCACCAAAAAGAACGTTCGAGGGAATCGACTTAGAAATATCGATGTCCTTGATGCCTGGAGCATCCGGACGGTCTCTGCACAAATCGGGTCGGTTCTCCTCAAGAAACTGAATCATAGATTCCGCAGCTTCTTTGCCCATTTTTTGTTCCAATTCAGCTCTGGTTACCCATTCCCTGCCGGCTGCTTTGACAGTACCGCTGGAGCTGGTGATCCTAGCGTAGACCTGTGTTCGCTTCCAATTCTCATCACCGGAGATCCATTGCTCAAACAGATCATAGAGCGTGCTCTTGTCACCTTGCAGCTGCATTGCAGTTGCATACAAAATTAAATCGATATATGATTAATCAATGCTTTTGAGTATGACTTTTTTGCAACCTAGACACCACTTTTTTCATCTAACTCTTTGGCTTTGGCGCCCAGGTCCTTGATTTCTTGAGGAGTTTTCCGAGCTGTGCCTCGGAAAACTAAAAGTATATCCGGATCCGCTTTTTATAGACTTGGTTTGAAACAATGTGAGTCGTACAAATAGACACAAGGCCCTGGCTGTTGAATGAACGCATGAAGCGAACCCACTGCACATGCCTTTTCTTTTTCTTGAGCAGCATCGCTTCCTTCTCCTTTTCCGCTAATTCCTCTCCAGGGGGCACCTCTCCAGGGGGCACCTCCTGACACTCATCATCCAGTGGCATACTTTTCTTCATAGGTGTGCCAGGCGTCAAAAGGTCACATGTGCCCGGTCGCCGAAGGTTTGCTTCAACTGCACGCCTCTTCTCCATCTCCTGAGCCAACCTTTTCTTCAGTTCTTCTTCTAACCTCTCCTCAAATCTCCTTTTCTCCTCTGCCATCTTCTCGTCCCGCATCCGCAGCTCATTTTCTTCGATCATCTTCTTCTCTATCTGGAGACGCTCCTCATATGCCTTCTTCTCTTCTTCGATCCTCTTCTGCTCCATCTGGAGCCG